AGAACTCAGCCAAAAAACCAAAAAAGTATGATTCATTACTTTCTATATTCAGATTTAAAATAGTTCTCATCAGTTTTTTAAGACAATGTTGCAATTCATTTTTCCCCTTCCCATTATTTGCAAAAAAAATTCCGAATTTTCATCAAGTTAGTTTAACTTTCGTTTATACCATTAGCATTTGAAATGTGGTCCATGCTTCATTCTTTATTTCTATACTATTCACTCCGAAACATTTTGTCTAGGAATAAAACGGTTACATATTTTACCAGCGACTGTGATGTTACCTGTTAAAAACTATTTGACAAGTATGAAGTGATTAGGGAAAATATATTCAATTAATTGAGTACATTCTTTATGATATCCCAGTGTATAAAAGATATAGAATCTACTTGGTATTAGCTGCTGCACTCAAAACATATCGTTACTACCATTTACATATACAAATAGGTGGTTAAGGCCACATGGGATTCAGATTCCGCTAAGCCACCTCTATTTCCCATGGTGGTCTTCATTCTTGAAGCGACTTTATGTCATATATTCATTCTTTAATACTTATTTACATTTTGTGGGATTTGGAATAGGCAAATGCACTTCTGCTGACTCTTTTAAGCATCGTGGTCCAAATTTTGGCCTTCGACAATGTTGAACTTGGTAAGAGTACTTTTCTGTTTATTAGGCTTCTCTCATGTGATATTTGATTTTGTTCTCTTAGTAACTGCTGTAGTTTTTTTCCCTTTTTTGTGGAGATGCAATGGAAAAACAGCTTATGTAAATCAAACCAATGATATGTACCTGTTTCTGGGGTAAGCTGCTACTCTAAGAATGTGCTTCACAGAGCCTTCAGTCTTTTCTTATTTAACTCTAAATATGAATTGCTTCTTCAGGTATGTCTAGGAAACATCTATTTTAATTTTCTTATTGATACCAACATATTTCAGTACTATTAAGACCCGGNTCCTGCCTAACCCTCCTCCCATAAATCCCTCGTGGCCGGACCAGGCGCGAGGCATCCTGTAAACCCTCCAATTTCATTACACCAATTGCATTGGACCAATTTTTAGTACCAATTTTTGGTAAAGTCTTCTATTGTTTGTTTTTTCACAGTATTGATTGTTCCCTAAATTTTACGTCCTTCTTTTCATTGTTCTCAGTAGTTATTCAAAAAAGATTTATACATTTCAGACTGTAATGTGTTTTTAAAGTAAATTTAGTATTGATTTCATTCCCAATATAAACTTATTCAATCACTACTTTTTAATAAAAGTACACCAAATTCTTAACACAACCTATTTCCAATATTGTTACTCAGTGAAATCATTTAAACTCCTACATTCTAAGACCATATTTCTCAAACAATTTCTCACATTTTTTTAATGAAAGTGTCTGTAATTGGCCATCGGAGATAGTGAAAAAACAAGCCCCTTTTCACCATTTTACCGATGCCCATGATCATGTATTCAACATCTGATTTCAGTCATACAATGACCACTGTGAAATTAACTTTGCTACTCATTAGTTGTTGATTTTTTATGCAGTTATAGAGTATCAATAATAGAGAACAACCCTGACCTTCCAACATATGTGGAAATCTATTTCCTAAACATGTTTTTGTTATTACTGTTAGGTACAAACTAGTACATCACCCGTGCTGCTAAGATCTGTAGGCTTTTTCAGATCTGATAGGTTCATCCTTCCCTTCACCACTGCCCTTCGCACCACCTTGGGAGGGTATCAGAAGAAGAAAAGAAGAAAAGAAAGAAGGAGATGGGGGGTGGAGTCTGACGTTGAAAAAAAAGGAAGAAGAAGAAAAAGAAAGAAGAGAGAAGAAAGAGGAAAAAGAATAAGAGAGAGAAGGAGAGATGGGGGAGTACGAGAGTAATGAGATTGAGAATTGGGGGTGAGAAAAAAAATAAGGGTAAAAGAGTAACTTTAGATGTATTTTCTTTCCATTTTAGGAAACGAGAAGAATCAAATGGGACGGCCTGAAAAGGAAAGTGAGAAGAAAGATATGGGACGGAGGGAGTAGTTCATTCAATTTTTTTTAAGTATAATGTGTACAAAACAAAGTCATAGAATAATTAAACAACTGAATTCTTTTACTTGTTATTTCAGGTTTGATATTTTGTAAAGAAGCTGCTTGTGATGCAAGTAAGTATAATTAAAAATTACTATGTTTCATTAATTAGAATATAATATCTAAACTAAGTATATTAACTAACAGTAAGTCTTTCATGTTTCCCAGAAATATCTCATGCAATGAAGTTAGGACAGGTAAGTAAATTAGTTAAATTACTTAAATTACTATCTCATGCAAGTCTTTCAATGAAGTACTTAAATTACTTAATNTTTTTTTAAGTATAATGTGTACAAAACAAAGTCATAGAATAATTAAACAACTGAATTCTTTTACTTGTTATTTCAGGTTTGATATTTTGTAAAGAAGCTGCTTGTGATGCAAGTAAGTATAATTAAAAATTACTATGTTTCATTAATTAGAATATAATATCTAAACTAAGTATATTAACTAACAGTAAGTCTTTCATGTTTCCCAGAAATATCTCATGCAATGAAGTTAGGACAGGTAAGTAAATTAGTTAAATTACTTAAATTACTATCTCATGCAAGTCTTTCAATGAAGTACTTAAATTACTTAATACACATGTATTGAATGAAATCTTCATTAAGGTTGGCATGGTTTTCTGTAATATGATGCCTATATTTTTCATCAGTTCAAGACACACTAAATGCATAAAACCATCTAAATTTATATCTGTTAAATATATATACACTATGGGATATCACTATGGGATATGAGGAAGAAAGATAAATTTATCACTATGGGATATGAGGAAGAAAGATATCTACTTTATATATGAAACACCACTCATAGGTTATATATATGTATTGAAATAAACATACAGAAACCACTGGTAATTATTTAAATATACTTAGAAGTTTATGTCAAGGAGTTATTCATGTTTAAGCCATACAAATCAATAAGTCCAAAACATTTTTTTGTCATGTGACCCTAGGAAGTTGATACATTAAAGGACTTCATTTTTTGATGGTTTTATTGTGGATATTTAAAATGAGGCATTTACTTTAAAACATTTAAACCTTAAATGACTGCAGTTCTAATATGCTTTTAAAGTACTTTAAAATTTTTTAAACTCAGTGATTTGGTCAGGACTTTGAGTGTGAACTACCTTTTTTAACTTTGCACATTTGAATGATTTCAGATTTTGATGGTTTATTGTGGAGTTGTTAAATGAGGAGGTTTTTAAAAACTCTTTAAAATTGCAGATTCATTTCCCCTGAGCATTTGATATTAGGTCAGAATGGGGTCAGTTCCTTGCCATTTTTTCTACCCCATTACCTATTTCCAAAATAATCCACTTTAATTATGAAGTGCCATTTTATTTTTCTGTCAGGACTTTAATTATGAAGTTCCACATTATGTTTGCAAATTTGATTATGAACTTTTAAAATTAGTAGTTTACT